GCCATTTGGCCCATATCTATCTCTAGGCCACTACTCAAGTGTGCAGCTAATGCGCTTGATGTCATTGGCATGCTTCCAGAAGAGAGTCGAGGTGATGCAAATGTAACAAAGGCAAAATCGAATAGTCTAGAGATAAAAAAAAAGAGTAAAGGTGATCAAAGTGAAATTTTGGCACTCCTTCCAATTAAAAAAATATAAGATATATTTTGTACCGGTAGCGAAATACTTCGATGAACAATTACTCGATTAAAATATAATTAATTTATATGATACAAAATTAATTAATGTTATTAGATTTGTAATGGGAAGTTATACATTTACTTATATATATCACATAAATAATATATTAGTAAAGTAATTGTTAGTTAAAAGTCTCGTGTCCTAGCAAAACAAAATATGCCCTACTAATAAAAGAAAGATGAGGGTAGAAAAAGGCCCAAACTGCAATTCATTAAAAAAAATACAACCCAAAAGTTTAAACTAATATCCCAACTAATACATACTACACTCCCCTTACCAAGATATAAGTATATATAGTTTTGATTTAAGTTGAACTATCCTAAGTTTGGCTAAGTTAGGATATGGCTAAGTTTATAAAGAAGAGTATTAGCATCTACCCTGTTAAATAAACAAACTATGAAAATATATCTCATAACAATCTGATTATACTCATTTGATATCGTAAATATTATAGACAAACCAGAAATATGTGTATTTTAGAACAAACAAAGCGTGTCAACATTTAAGACAATGAAAACATATGGGAAAAAAAAATCAACCTTTCTCCACGGAACATGGTTTTAAAAATTGACTGGAACTACCCGGCCATTGATGTCGGCTATATTAAGCCGGTTCGAATCGAGAAACCACTGCGTAAACCTGACTAAGTTTCTTTTTTAAAAAAATCAAACTAAAATTCAAAATATTATCTAAATTTCACTTGTTTTTTTGTCGGTTAGCAGTAATCGCAATAACCTATGAAACCACTCACCAGAAAATAGTTTCTGAAACTCTGCACCGGATGATGCGACGGTGGAAAATCGACGGATCAAACCGAGATTGCAAGCATCGACCACCAACCATTCTAGAGTCTTGACTCGACGACACGCTTCATACATAGTACTTTTTTCGTCCCAAAATATAAGCATTTTTGACCCTGATATGGTCTCCGAGATGCTACTTTGACCAATAACATTTATAAAAATAAGATGTTTTAAATAAAAAAAAGTTGTATATTATGATAGTTTGTTTAATGATAAATCTAGTAACATCAACTTTCCATGATTGATCTTTTTAATTTTTTTACTATTAATAGTTAAAGTTAAAAATGTTTGACTTATCACTGTGCTAAAAATATTTATATTTTAGAACGGAGGGAGTACGATGGTACTACAGTAGACGGATGCACACACACCTCGTCGACATATAAATGCAAGTGCGATGCAATTAAGCTGGGCACACACACCCGATCGATCGGTCCATCCACGGTCCGTGGAAGAGGGCGTACGTGGGGGCGCACGCACGTGCACCTGTGCTGTTCTTAAATCAGTGCCGCCCACGGGCGGCAGCCCGATCGAGGGCGACGTGCACATGCGCGCGCGCGCGCGCCTTCCCTCGCGGATCGGCGTCGTACGACGCCTCACCGATCCAACGAACGAGACGATCGCGCGACCCGTCGATCGTACGCGACTCGCTGGAAAACGCTGCTCCTCCGGCCCCCAGAGACGATGGGGGATGACATGAGTACCGGCCAGTGAGATGAACCGGCCGCCGGCCGGGGCCTTTGCAGATCACAGCTTGGTCAGCAGAGGAGGTGTGATGGGGGTGGGGGGCAGGGTTCCAACCACTGTTCACTGCACGCATGTGTGCGTGTCGTATTAGCTAGCTGCCTGCAGGCTGCTATATAGGCCCCCCCGAGCAACGGCTTCGAGAGCCGTGGATGGCTGGATGCATGCACTGTACCTATCTATCTGTAAAGCAAGTTTATTAACAGAACTGATTATTAGCTATTAGCTAGAGCTAGCATATATAATAGATTAACTATAAAGTTAGCTTTATCTTTTTATCATATCTCTTTGTCTCATTATTAATTTAATGTGAACATTTTGAAACATGTGTAGAGCTATATCTTGCATGAGAGATAATTTTCCTCACTCTTATTTTTCTCTTTTTCACATAATAAGCTTATAGTTGATTTATAGTTTACTATTATCCTTCTCTAAAGTTCAGCCGGCTCACCAGCCGTTAACACGGCAGTCTGCCCACGATTCTTTATAGTGGAAATTGGTGATTTTTAATGTTTACTTGTCACTCTACCATTGTCATACTTTGAGTAGATCCAATAGCAGGCTATAAGCTAGCTATAAATACATTTCGAGGAAGATAAAATAGGAGAGAAAAAAGCAGCGGGCTATAGATTTATAGTCCAAGATATATATGTGTATGATAAGTGAGACCAGCTATGAATCGTGTAGTATACATTTATAGGTAACTATTATATTAATCGGTTATTAAATTGATAATAAATGATTTGGAGCCGATAGTCGGCTGTAATATTAAACTTGCTCTTAAGTGCTACAGTAAGGCGATTACTTCCTGAGCAACCAGCAATAAACTTGGAAGCATATGATCACGCAGTAATTAATTATCTGCCGCAGGCAACATTTTAACTTCCCTTTTCGAAGGACGACTGTAGCGTGGATTTTTTATATTTTAGGTCTTTTTGAAAATTTATTTTACAAATAGACCTCTAAAAACTTATTCCAAAAATAGATTCTTTTCGCAACGACAATATCATTAACGTTGTGGTCCAATATAACTACTCTAATGGTATCAACGTTATCCCCCTAGCCTCCCCGGAGAAGCTAAATCATTTATACAAACGAAAATGACCCTAATGATACCCTATTTATAAAAAAATTCAAAAATAACCTATTTATAAAAAAATTACAAATAGATCCTCGACGCCAATAATGCTAGCACCATCACACTGAGGACCTATTTGTAAATATTTTTTTTATTACAAATAGGTTTTTTTTAAAAAAAATACAAATAGAACCTTGGCGTCAACGACATTTGCACCATCGTCTTTTATATAAGTGACTTGGGGCCTCAGCTAAAAATTAAATTTTCAACCTTAAATTTAGAGCTGATTTTGAGATTTTTTTATCGAAGTTTTTCTAGCCTTAGCTCTTAGCTTTTAGATCGATAAGATCACGTATATAAAAGTTTTATTCATAAATTACTTTTCGTTTGTAAATTAATATGTTGTTTCACTTATTCCGCGAATAAGCGAAACGATGGCTCCGTTGGCTTCTCCCCGGAGACTAGGAGGCCAATGTCATTGGCGTTGTCATATTGGACCACAACGCCAATGATGTTGACGCCGTGAAAGGATCTATTTTTAAAATAAGTTTTTTACGGGTCTGTTTGTAAAATAAGTTTTTATAAGGGACCAAAAAGTAAAAATCCAGCCTAGGGGCTCTTATCTGTTCGCACACTACCTGCCTAGCTAGCATTGTACTTTGAAGCCCAGATTGATTGCCTGCGAGAACAGCGGCCCGCGCCTACCTGCGAGGCGGTCCTGCGTTTTAGACCAAAGTGCCAGTGTGCCAGAGTTTAGACTCACACTACTCCATGTCTCCATTTTTTCCTCTCTCTCTCTCTCTCTCTCCAAATTAATGCATAGGGTTCGTACAGTACGACGCTTTGATTAAAAAAATTCATATAAATTTTAGAGGATTTTGTTCCTATAAAAATTTTTCTACGTAGCCCTTTGAATCAAAGGAATGAACTCTATGGAATTTCTATGGAATGTCTCTTCCCATATAATAAGTTTTAGAGTAAATTTAATATGAGGTAGAACCTCATAAAAAGAATCATTTGAGGGGGTGTTTGGGTGAGAGGGACTACCCCCTGAGTCTTTATCTTTCCTCAAATTCCTATATTTTTTCTATATTTTTAAAATTATCTGTTTTATACCTGCATTCTAATTATCTGTTTTATACTTGCATTATAAGAATCCTATGTTTTTTTCTATTTCTCCCTTTTTTTTCATTCCTATGATTCAAAGGGGATCCTATTGTTTAAAGCCTCAAGTAAAAAATGGACTACAGTACCCATAGAATTCATGCAAAATTCATCTTACTACTTCCTTTTGCAAAAATATAAGTGGTTTTTTCCATGTAACTAAATGGACAAAATCCCTTATATTTTGAACCGGGGATAGTAGTAGATCGGACATGAAGTAATAGAAAATTGATGCAAAGTAGTACAGTAGCTTCAACTTCTTATCCATTGGTTGTTTCTACTACATTCGTGAGAAAATATAGCAACCTAGGATAAAATTAGATCTAACCGTACTATGAATCCAATCTAAATAGATCCTATCCATCTTGGGTTGGTATATATTAAGATGGAGGGAATGGTAAACAAGTAATATGGCCCTATTAAAATAATAGTTGAGAACCATACTACTTTCTCTGTCTCTAAAAAAATCTATGATAAAATGTGGCACATACTAATACTATAAATATGGACAAAATATTGTTATGAAGTGTCACATCATGTCCTATATTTGTTTTTATGGGACGGAAGGAGTATATCAATTTACTGAGAAAACCCATACGTTTTTTTCCTTTCAAAATTCTTTGGATTAATGTACTAGTCATTGTATATCAACATAATATAATATGTTGTTATTATCTCTAGGCTGCTTTGCAACTAGAGTTAGGAACCCACTCCCTTCTTAAATTGTTAACGGTGCATTTTTTGAAAAATATTAATCGAAAGTTGCTTAAAAAATTTATATTGAACCATTTTTTTTAAAAAAGCTAATACTCAATTAATCACGCGCTAATAGATTGTTCAATTTTACGTACGGGAGGCATTAGATCCTATGCCCGAACACCGTGTAATTGATATTCCAGTCCATGCACTAGATTTGATCGAACATATAATTAGACGTCTGCTTATTCCATTGAAGTTCAGTTCCTGAAAAATGTTGAATTTTAAATGATGCATGCATTCCGCTTGCTCCCAATGAGTGGACAAACAATGTTATTTTACAGAAAATGACCCAAAAAGGAGATGGAAAAAAAAAAACATGTGCCGATCTCTAGACATAATATTCCAACATATTTTTTTAAAACAGAGACGAAATCATCACCTAGCTTGGAACCATCAGCTCACTAGCTTTGCTGTCACGTTCCATATTCTCTACTGAACCGTCAGCTCACTAACTTTGCTGTCATGTTCCATATTCTCTATTATCCGAATGACACATGTAATTACTCCATGAAGTAGTTGGAGAAAACTAAACTAGCTCTTCCCATACATAAATAGTGAAGGGATCGAGTATGTGACATGGCCGGCTGCTCCCCCGTGGGAAATGCAAATTGCAAATGCCATAAAACAGCATGCACACCGATGAGACCCCATTGAAAAGATTATCTGCAAAAATGATAGCCAAGGGAAAGGATTAAGACTTACGTGGATGCCGCACGCTCCACATGTATGTGCATTTTTCCTGTGATCCATGAGCGCTTGGTTGACGAAGAAATGTGGAGGCATTTGCGTCTGTCCCCTGTTTCTGCAGGCTGTGCCTCAGTGCAAGCCCATGTTCTTCTCCAGCAACGCTTGAATGACTCACATGTCTTGTCCCGGGAACCAATCCATGTTTCTCCTTCATTTCCCTTTTGTAATTGATAGCTCCAAGCATAGAAGGCGATGCAGAATATCCAAAATGTTATCATAGAGCCTGCGAAAAATCCAACGTGTCATTTTTTTGGCAAATTCATACAAGAACTCTCCGAGTGAAAAACCACAGGGCCCAAAACTTTCTGAGCGTTTTTTTCTTCTCAACATTAAATGAATCACAGGACTAAACCTACATTGAAATTTCTCCATTCCAGATTTGGCCATGCGTGTGCTTTTACTGTGTGATTGGCACTTGGCCACAGCGAGAGATTTCCATCAGGTTGCAGCCTCATGCAGTTATCACGTCGCAAGTTGGCAAGACATCACATGGGGATTTCCTTCAATCATTGCAAATAATACTAACCATTTGATGATTGCGATTAGGACAAGAAGATTTGTCTTAAGCTAGAATTGCAGGTGAGAAAGAACAGATGGCCATTTTGCTTGATATAGTTTTAGGCTTGTGTTGATAGACTACTAGACTACGAATAACAACATCAAGAGATGACAGAAACAAGTTCACAACGCATGAGGAATGAAACGTGCCAACCTTCTTTTCAAAAAAGTATAACCTACTAATTTGTCAATTTAAGTCCCAATGAGAAGACACAAAATGTGCAATTAACACGTGGTCAATAAGAGGCAAGAAAATACATTGGACAATGCATGTATACCCTGTGGTGGATCCAGGTGTGGGGCTTAAGCCTCGCTTAGGCATAACCCCATTTAAGCCCCATCAAAATTATATGAAAATCCTAAAGATTTGAAGTATAACAAGGATACATTAGCTTATCCCTAGGTGTGATCTATTTCAACCCGGTTCCACCCTTGTATACACTAGATATTCTTTCTAAGGGAAATTTAGTGTATTATTTGGATCGGTGGATATTTACATTATGTAAGACTATATAAATTTAATATTGTACCAAATAGGGCCATGTCGTGAGACATACAAATGCAGGGAGAAGCATAGTGCAAAATCAGTGAGCAAAAGTAAGATTTCTGTGCTACTAGGGACGACCGAAGTCCTAGTTTATAACCAGTACGACACATGTTGCAAATAGTTAAGGCACCGTCCTATGTGACAGCCACATAATTCATAGCTTATGAGAACTAGCTATCCTTACAGCTCATTCCACAGGTTAGAACCTGGTTCAACCCACATGGCCAAGTGAAATATCCCTATGCTCTCACCTATATATACCCCCATCCTGTATTGTGACTTGTGTCTCACAACACAAAAATCTCAATTTGCAAAGCATAAGTTTGGAGAGAGAGAGAGAGAGAGAGAGAGAGAGAGAGAGAGAGAGAGAGAGAGAGAGAGAGAGAGATGAAGAGGAGATCCATGTTCACAGTAGGGAAGAACAAAGGAGTGGCCTTGTCGGTGCATAGGAAGCCCCTTCAGCACATGGTGCAGAGGAGGCTAAGGGAGCTGAAGAAGATAGTACCAGATGCCCATGAGGACAACGTCGATGTGCTGCTCCGGCAAACGGCTGAGTACATCTGCATCCTTGAGCTGAAGGTGGCCGTGTTGCGGAAGCTCGCCGCAATCTATGGTGCATGAAGGATGCCGCACCATCGGCCATCTCAGTTCATTGAAATGTCCATGGTTTGAGTTTTGAGGTCAGAATTTGTTGCAGTTGTACATTTAATGGGAGAGGAGGGTGTTTCTTGCCTCATCTCTCTCGTGTTGTACCCCCGAGTAGTAGTGGTAGTATGCTCGTGGCTCCTATAAAGGAGTTTGTTTGGCTGGAGAAGCCAGCCATTGTTTCTGACAATGCTATGAGTGGTGTTCACCATGAGAACAATGGTCAAAGCTTTGGTGTGTGGCATGTGGATAGTTGCTATTCAGTTTTCCCTTTCAACTATCTCATGAAGAAGTTGAATTATTGCACAAGTTTTGAACTTATCAAATCAGGAAAGTTCTACCTGTTTTTATCTATTTTAAACTATGGAGATTTTTATTGATGGGGAACAATTGAGTTATTATTCTCAAAAGAGCATTGATCTAGTGCTTAAGAGCATACCTGCAAGAGCCTAGAAACACAAGTAAAATCCATGACAGACGATCTCTACGCATACTCCAATGCAAGCAAGATTCTCCTCCAACATACTGTATTGATATTGATGCTGTGTTGGATCACATCAGATAATTGTGCTGTTTACAAAAAACTGAAAAAAATATTAAAGAAAGATTTATCAGATTTGATTGTGCAACTGAATGGAAGTGAATGGATGGAAACGTACATTGTATGTTATTCAAGGTAAATTGCTGCTAGTAGAACTGTGGGTTTCCAGCCCTTTTAACCATGGAAAGAATATTTGCTCGTATGTCACATCAACATATGATGTACTAGTGATGATGACAGAGTTACGTCGAGGCCAGATCTTACCATAGGACATGCTACTTATGAATTATCCAGGTGTGTCAAAACTGCAGGCTTTTCAACATTCAGCAAGGAAACAAACATATCTGGCATTTTTCCAGATCACCAGTATGTACTAAAAATCATGCTCAATACTATCTACTTGCTACATAATAAAGTCTTAACTCTTCATGCGATCACTAAAAAAAATTGGTGACTGATAGGAACTTGCAACAGTACTCAATAATGGTCAATAAATTTTAATAGGGGATACAGAATGACAAGTGAAAGGAAGGCTAGAGGATCCCAAGAACTTATCGAATCCAACATTCGAATCGACACTACGTTACTAATCCATGTAGCGGCATCAAAGGTACAAAGAGGACTGCATAGAAGTTGCAATAACTGCTTGTGAAAATATATGTAACCAACATTCTCAACCCTCGAATAGCTCGGGCATGACTAAAATCTTAGGAAACATCCTTATTGTACCCGCATGCACACTTTAACAAACTCTGTAGAAGTATAATTAGATCCGTTCATCGTCTACTGTGACAACCGACTTTTGGCAAAACTGAATTCCTTACTTATCAGGAAACAAGAGAAATTAAGACTAAGCTGGCATAATCAATAAGATTATCTGCCATATCATATAGCTTGTTACAGCAAAACTACTGCCACTGGCCAAAACAGTTCAGCTACAAGCCAGAGCTATTGTATATGTGATAGTAGGTCCTTTTCCATTATATTCAATCCCAGATATTCTGTAGACATCACTGAATTGATGGCATTATAGATTTTGCATCTGCCCAAAACATACCAAGACAATCATTTCAACACAAGCATTATCTCACATTTACTGTTTTATCTTCTGTTTTCTAAAATCACAAAGCATTACATGTTCTTCCAGACTAATCATATTCCTTTATCAAAAAAGTAAGAAAAATATCTGAAATATCAATGTGCAAACTTGCTAAATGACACGGTCATGCCAACCATATATTAAGGGAAACTATCATGTTTATTCTTTCTTCGCAAGATCCTTCAGAAAAAAAGAGGAAGCAAAAATCATTGTGTAGCAATCGGCACTGCTATGTTATCAATCTAAAACTAAACCTCACATTTAAAAATCATAAGCGTCTGATGCTGCCGTAGCCCATTGTGGACAAATCTTTCAGAAAGTACCCTGAAAATGAGGTACAGCCAAACGTATATAATGTCAAGGTCCACTGTACCTTAATGGTACACCTCCTGGGAGCTGCATGACTTTATTGAAACACATGGAGCCCATCCATGTGTGAGCATGTGTCTCTGATACTGCAATTTGCACTATCCATCATAGGCACATATCTGCTGAAGTGGCACAGACAACACAAAGAACACTCCAAGTCACTGATAGTTGAACAACAGAGCAAACTAAATCATACAAGATTATACCCGTTTAACAAACTAAGCAACCTTTGTTGCTTAGCACCTAATGCCATGATTGAAGCAGAATCCCAGATTCATGCATTTCTTCTAATTTACAGAGAAAATTCAATAAAACCAAAAAACAGAAAATCATATTTATTATGTAGGTACAGTTCTACAGCAAGAACAGCCTTTCCACCATTTGCAAATTGCGAGAACATTCAAATGTCAGGCTTTAAGCCATGTGCATGCATGTGATATGTCTAATATTTCAGTCTGACTGACAGGGCAGTTCATATGGTGATATGGAACATTGTATGCTATTCCAAAAAAAAAAAAAAACTGAAACCACTACATCCCTGTTAGTCACACCAGGTAAATGTCAGGAATGATCACATGAGTCGGGACCAAGAAAATGTACTGTGGTAAAATATCAACAATGTTGAATAGGACAATGTCTCATTATTATCTTGATGGCCACATAATATATCTAATTTTACTAGACCCAAACAAATATCACAAGGAGAGAGCAATGCTGAAACTATCTCAAGAACAGGTTGCGACTATTCATGCCATCAATTATCACTAGAAATAAAACATTACAATGTCACAAAGAAAGTAATACTCACATTGAGAGAGAATGGGACAGTCGCACAATGGCGTATGGGCTCTTGACGGCAAACATAAAATTACATCCAATGGTTGGACATGAAGGATACGGGGCATAGCCGCATAGGGATACATATGCCATCTCAAATTCTGAAATGTACAGGTTGATGAGCTCATTCGTGCACATCGAAGAACGAAAAAAAACTATAGATTAGAGTTACGACTTACGACTTATGAGTAGAGGCCTCGTAGTAATCCTATGTTACAAAAGGATGAAAAGCTACGAACATAATGTGCACAAATGATGGCAAGTTCGCAGCCCCAAACCCCAAACGGACAAACCAAGGAAACCAAAGGATTCAGGATTCAGGAAACCCCAACCCCGCTGCAGATTCAGTTTCCACGCGAGAGAGAGAGGCCCCAGCTAACCACACGCAACTGCTTGGCGGGAGAGCGAGAGGGGAGGGGGTCCGAACCGGAGGGGAGCGCCGCGGCTGCAGGGAAGCGTCGGGGAGGCGGAGCCCAGCCGGGGCCCGGGGCCACCGCCATCTCGTCGGCGCGGTGGCCGCGGTGGTTGAGCGGTGGCGGCGGGGCGTCGACGAGCGGAGAACTCGGCGTCGGAGGTGGGGAGTTGCAAATGGGCCGGGCCTTCGCGTGCACATCCGAGACTTGAAAATCTCTCGGCCTTAAAAGACAGCCCATGTGAGCCAAATGCTAATTGGTACGGCGCGTACGCTGCCAAAAGCCCAAAGCCCATACGGAGTACGTGTGTTTCTTTCTTTTCTTTTCTTTTTTTCTTTTTTAGCGCAGCCACGTTTCCTTTTTATTTTTTTCCTTTTTTCATCTCAACTTTTGAAAACTTTCAACTGAAATTTGAAACTTTCAATTCAGTTTTGAAAACTTTCAACTTAAAATTTGAAAACTTTCAGCTCGAAATTTGAAATTTTTGAAGTCAAATTTTGAAAACTTTCAACTTTCCATCTCAACTTTTAAAAACTTTTAACTAAAATTTAAAACTTTCAACTCAGATTTGAAAACTTTCAACTTCTCATCTCAACTTTTAAACACTTTCAACTCAAATTTGAAAACTTTCAACTCAAAATACAAAAACTTCTAACTCGGATTTGAAAATTTTCAAATCGATATTTTTGGAAAACTTTCAAATCGTATTTTGAAAATTTACAAAATCAATTGTTTTTATTTTTAATTGGGAAATTACTGTAGCATTCTCACTAATCTACCCTATAATTCACCAACTACACTCTTACAAACCTCATTCATCAAATCCGATGGTCAAGAATGATCGAATCCAATGGTTCGAGATCGTCGTGGACCCTCTCCCTTCCGCACGCGCTTGGCACCCACACCTGCCTGCATTCCTCCTCTCCCCTTCCCTCACGTGTGTCCCCTAATCACGCCGAGAACCCCGTCTCTGCCCTCCTCTCTCTCGCACTCACCCAGCTCCGCCGATGCTGCACCCTCACGCCGCCGACGCTCCGCCATCGCGACGCCGCCTCGCCACCCGCGACGCCGCCTCGCCCCTCATGCCAACCGCCGCCGACCGGCGCCGCCACCAGCATCGCCGATTCTCCATCGCGCCCTATCGTGGCCTGCATCGCCGATCTACCCCGACCGGTGCCGCCGCCCGCATCACCCATCTACTCCGTGCCTCCACGTCAACCTCCATCGCCTCCCCGGGCTCGAGACCGTCGCCATCATCGGGAAGACCAATGGCGCCAACCTCTTCGCCTGGGATGACCGCCGGGGCCTCCTTGCTGTCGGCTGCTGGAAGCGCCTGACCATCTTCCGCCTTGACAATGAGAATTCAGCTCCGCATTGCCTATTCTTTCTCGGTTGTGATTTGAGTGTTTATGGCTATGGTTTGACTGTTACATCATTTGGGTTTCGGTGGAAATTGAGATGGCCTGTTGGTAGTGCTCAATTTGGAGAATGGGAAGTATGATACGGGGGATTATCTAATTAGGTTGAAATAGATATTCAGTGGAAATTAAATCAAACACTGGAAGAGTTGCTTCCAATCCTCACTGTTCTGTTGTTCTTCTTGATAATAGCTGCTTCTAGATTCTTGCCTGATGCTTGCTTGGTTGGGTTTTGTAAAGGATTAATGCCTGGTTGTCGTGCATTGTATCCGGCAGGAGTGCCCCAGGTCAGAGCTACTTGTTAGTAGAATAATTGAATTCTTCATGCTGATAATTTTCAGGTGCTTTTAGCCACCTGTAGCAAATGTTGACTGCATGATAAAAAAAACTAAACTTTGTTTACTTGTGAATTGTTGCATTACGGTGATCTACAAAAATCTACCTTTTCATTTTATGTTTGAACTAGCGGTGTCGATTTTGGTTAAACTTTGACACCTGAAGGATCTTAGCTTGAAGATAAATGTGCATCTGCTGTTTTAGATGCACTTGGTTCTGTCCAGGGAAGATTAACTGTGGATTCTTTAGTTACTGAAACATTTGGAACAGCTGGCTATTAAAACCACAAATTCACAAGCTATATTACTTAAGTGCTGCTTGTGAATTTTGGTTAACTTTGACACCTGAAGGATCTTACCTTGAAGATAAATGCGCATCTGCTGTTTTAGATGCACTTGGTTCTGTTTAGGGAAGATTAACTGTGATTCTTTAGTTACTGATTATTAGTCTTTACAGTCTAGCGTGTGAAACCGTGAATGCCACTTCTGCGTCTCATTCACTTGTGTTCAGGTTTTAGCAAACATAATTCAGATTGGTCTGTTTGGCATAGCATATGAATGATTATTGAAGCTACCAGTAGTTGAATAATACTTTGACCATAAGTAGCACCTCGAATATTTTATATGCAGGATTATCAGTACTTGTTTGTGTTTGTTGCACCGTCTTTTATTTTTGTAGCCATTGTCTCATGATGAAGCAAGATCATTATTTGCGTTTGTTGCACCGTATGTCAATGAAGCCAAGGAGACCAAGAGCAGTAGTTCTCTACCTCAAAAGGTAGCTGAATCTGAAATAGAATTTTGCCTTTTCATTTATGTTATATATTTTCCTTTCTGTATTGAGCTTGGAGATCTCAACATGATTTAGGATTTATACATGTTGATTGGTGAATGTTAGCACTTATATACATGTTCTATTTTTTTTTCTTAAAGATAATTGCTTTTTTTTGTATTTCGTTGTTTCCTAAGATGTACCAACATTTCTTAAAGACGATTTCCTCACGGACTTGCTTTTTATAAGAAATATGGTAAAAATGAAGTATGTAATTTAAGTATTACATTTTGTGAATAGGATTATATATTTGTAATATATTTTTTGCTTGCAAAAATATATAAGGGCACTATCAAATGTTGCTGTAGCGTAAGCAATAAGCACACACTTTTTTTTCCCGCGTGACTATTCCACTTATTGCTATTCCATGAGCTTCTTGATTCAGCTCACAAACACAAGACAATTGATTTGGAGTTCACTTTTTAATACAGGTATATATATTAGGTGTCTTATATATTAGTCTAATGACATCACTGCTTCTATATGAAACAAACTAAGTGGTCCGCTACTACATTTTTTGGTATTATCATTCTTATAGGTGCTTAATGTTGAAAGATATTCTACAGAATGTCCAGCAGACGAATCTCTTGGTTGCTTTTTACTAGGACTCAGGTCTTAATCGCCATTTCATTTTTTTAATCCTTTCAAATTGTTTACCTAGATTTTAATCCACGTGCCTTCCATATTTATGATGATTGCTTAGGACTTGATCATAGAAAGGGAGGTTAAAAGAATGCAACAAAGCCATCAATTACCATCTTCAATGACTTGGAAGGCGAAACAAGGGTTTATTTTCAATGATACGAATTCATCCATTTATTATCTTTGTTGCCTTGTCTTTATAACCGCAAGACATTATTTTTCACCAGTAACTCTAATGAAATGTAGTATTATGTCAATGACCAAATTTGTAATAATCTTTATATGCATTTTGACACGGTATCTTTTCCTGCTATATCACCTATATTACTGCTTATCAATTTCTGGTTTTGGTAGCAAGCCATTCAAGTGACACCGTAGCGTTAGCACGGGAACATTACTAGTCACCATGATTAATGCTAATTGTTAAGATTAGTGATGTCATTGTCGGCGGAGGCCCGCGTGCGCGCGAGCTAGCCATGCCCCCCATGTGATCCAGAATATTTGGAAAAAGTTCACTTTCGATCTTTCAATTTGTTACCGCCTTCGCCTCTACGAACCATGGCTCGGCGTCCCAGCAGCCTCCTCCACGAACTTCGCATCCAGGACCGTCTCGTAAAATTTGGGGGCCCTATGTAAAATCTTAAACACAACCTAAACAAAAGTGATAATAAAAAAAAGATAATAACAATTTAAACTTAAAGATATGTTTTGTACCAACTAAATAATAGAAAAAAATATACCTTCACATAATCTTCTCTAGAAAAAACACAAGACGACGCCTACAGCCGTCGTGATGTTTGCCGGTGTGGTGGTTTCATCGTGCAGACTACAGAGATGCAGCGCTCCGGCATCGGAAGCAGGGTGATCCGGCAAGGGATAGGGCGGCAGGGCGGTAGATGAATGGACCGACGGTGGGATTGATCTTAAAATAAAGAAAAACGTAGCGAGGGAGCGAGGCGATTGGGCAGCAGGCCAGCGGATACGCGTTGAGATCGATCTGAAAAAAGGAACCATTATGCGTGTGCAACGTTATTCTCTCATTAATTGAGCTCACACTCATGCTCCAGCAGCCTCCATGCCTTCTGTTGTTATCAATTGGATCAATGGGATTGAATCACGGAAGGCAAATATATAGGCTTGGGGACCTGTGCAAGCGCTCATGTCGTACGCCCTCAAGGACGGGCCTGTTCGCCTCCCTGGGATGCCGGCCGCGGCCCTTCTCCATGTGAGGCCACCCCTACCTCCTTGATTGGTGAGGATGGGGAAGAGAGGGAAATGTTGCTGATATGTGGGAATCATGTGGGTCCCACACTGGCTCAGCACAGTTGACCGTACTCAAAGCTCCACGTCAAACGAAAACCAAGAGCCATATGCCTTACGTAAGTTGATACGGTTTTGCAAGTCGGGGACGGGCTATACCTATTATTGTGGTTTAAGGACGAATTACAAACTCGAGGACAGATTAAGGGACCTATAGTGAACTTATTCCGATTTGAAACACCCACGGCCTTAATGGATGCAGCCCATTAACTAGATATCTTACTCTTTCCCTAAATAAATTTTGCAGATTTCATAGGCACAGCATAACTCCCTGACAAGTGACCATCCCTATACGGTATTAGGCAGCCAAATATGTTTGAAATTTCTGAAGTAATCAATTTTAATTTTTATTATAGAATAGATAAACTTCCAATTAAACAGCTCCATGCATATTGACGAGCAGTACCGCTGGTGGCACGAGATATCGATATATCACGACCATTAAATAGCCCATAAAGAAATCACAGAAATACGCTGATAAAAATAACGCAGCTATATATACTGCTCATCTTTTAGGCATATAAATATATCTACACGTTCATACAGCTCATCTCTTTATGTATCCAACGCCAAATCAAAGTATATATACTTATACATATACGTGCAGACAAATCAAAACACGGTGCGGGGGGAGGATTTGCCGGTGTGGCAGCAAATTGAACAGTCAGGAGCCACACGAGAATGATTTAATTTGATGGTGATCGATGACCATGACGACGACGACGACGACGTTTTTAAATTAACCTGTGAAAAGGGAAAGGAGAAAGAGAAGAACGACGACGATGACGACGACGACGAGGGCTTGGGCCCGGTTTGGTGGGGGCCCAGAACGCGCCGCGGCCGTTGGATCGACGAGACGAACGGCGCGGGTTCCGATCAGACAGGCCGGAGGCCGTGCCTGAGCGCCGCCTCCCACACGACGTCGATGCGGTCCACGTCGATGGCGCCCACCTCGTGGTGCGTGTACCCCTCCAGGAAGTGCACCACGCCTCCGGCGTGGCACGCGTGCACCACCCCGCGCTCCAGCGAGTACTGCACAAGATCAGATCAGTCATGTGTGATCGATCTGCAAACCAGCAAAGGAAGACGACGAGGAGGAGGCTGAATTGATTTCAGGTTGTGGTTCTGACCTCGCAGGCGCCGAGGCCCTGGACGTCCTTGGGGAGGCGCATGGCGGCGAGCTTGCCGTAGGTGCAGTCGCGGCGGAAGCCGATGATTGGGGGGACGACGAACTGGTGGAAGTGCGTCCCCGGCGGCGCCCAACGCTGCTCCCTCGGCGACAGCCACTTGCCGACGATCCACGTCTTGCAGTGCTGCGCCGACCTGTACTTGGTCACCTGCACCAGGTACTGCTGGTGCTCCGGCGTCGCCTCCCTCTGTATCTTCTGGAATCTCTCCGTCGACAGCGTCATCATCTGCACCACACATCATACGTCTCAGCAACAGCGACCGATCGATCGCCATCAATATGCAGCTAGAAATTAGTAGTTGGGTGGTGGTGTTGGGGTTGATTACCATGACGCGGACTTTCTTCCTGCAGAGGTAGAGGGCGATGGCGCGGCCGAGCTTGGACGTGGCGCCGGTCATGAACACCTCGGTGGTGCCCTGCGGGATCTCGTTGAGGATCACCGCCGCCGTCAGCGTGTTGCCGTGGACGACGCGCACCCGGAGCCCCGGGTGCTTGTTCACGAACAGCGTCCCGCCACCGTTCAGCGCCTCATTCTGCACGCACGCAACGCACGCCATCATCATCAGTAGACAGTTCCCCAACCTTTACCTTTTGCAACGTTGCTGTTGAACAGTGACCCAACCTTGTTGAGAGCGGCGAGGCTGACCACCTTGGCGCCCATCTTGTCCGCCCTGAGGATGGCGAGCTCGATCTGGTTGTTGATGCCGTCCTTGGCGAACGGCAGGAAGTACTGCAGCGAAAAACACAACAATGATAGTAAGTAGTAGCATCGATCAGAAAGGAGTACAATATTAGTGTGTGTGAGAGAGGATTACGTGGAAGCCGTAGCGGGGGACGGCCCACATCTGGTGGAGGCGGCCGCGGAGGCGGTAGCAGGAGATGACGAAGGTCTTGGACCACGCCCACATCATGAGCATGACGAGGAACGCGAACGGCCACATGGGCAGCAGGAACGGCTGCACCGAGAAGGGCGTCGACGCGAACGTCCGCAGCACGAACGGCACGTGCAGCGACTGCATCACGTCCACCACGTGCGCCAGGAACACGAACTCCGGCACCTCGTCCACCCCTGCACACACCCACACCACACCACACCGTCCATTCGTCAGCTTCTCTGCCTCGCCGCGGGTGGCGCGACACGGGTCTAATTAAAATCGTCAAGAAAAAGAGAAACCAAGAGCAGATTCTGTACGTTTTTTTTTGGCCGTGCCAGCCGCCGGCGATCCGATACGGTCGGAGTCGCGGCCGGCGACAGCGGCATGCAGCGTTTAAAAGCGAGAGACGGTTGGATGGCATGTCACGGTCGGGGTCGCTCCGTCGCTGTACGTAACGTGTGTAGCGGATAGATCATTACGGCGAACAGGACGGTCTACTCCTGTGGGCACCTGTCCTCTCAAGACGGATACATACACTAATTTGGCCCTGGTCCAATCGTGCACTAATCATCGGCACGCATGCAAAACCTTCCGCGTACACATGCATCGTTAATTTTCCACAACAAACTTGCTTAATTACTAATTCGAGCTTTAACGGCTTGAGTGATTTTACGATAATTAAGAAGGTATTGTGAGTTAAGAGTTATGGAAGATATCAAATTTGCATTAAAAATTTGTATCTCCGAGGAACTGTAAAATTTCTCTAACGGCTTGCGGTTGATCTGAGAAAACGCATGATGCATGCATGGTGCCTATCAACCTAATCTCTCTTGCTTTTTTTCTGCAAAGACTAAAAATTGGTTGGATTGGAACGCTCCCTAACGGCAGGTAGCTCGGGTCGTCCATGCGTCACGCAAAACGCAATCGAACAGCAGCAGCATGTGAAATTTAAGGCCGGTGATATGCGCATATCTCGTGCATATATGGGCCATAATTAAACACAATCCAAACATCTCTCTCGCGGGCGATCTTAATTAAATTTCGATTCGATTTGATTTGATTCATACCTGCGCTGGTTTTCTTCTGCATCTCCCAGGACTGGGCGTCGAGGGTGCCACCGATGAGGTCGAACAGCGGCATGAACAGGCAGAAGTTGGCATCCTCCTTGGTGTGATGGATCGTGTGGTACCTGCAGGGATTCGGACCAGCAGTCACACACACGCGCGTACGGGAGAGAACCAATGATCAGGAAGCAAATTAAGCCGGTGTAGTTCAGAGATCCGATTAATGCGTGTGAAAAAATGCGAAAAGGGCATGCATCCAACGCATTTAATGGTCGTCTGAATTGCGTACGCGATTGGATGAAGACATCAACCATTTGATAGTTCATTCATGGGATGAATGGTGAGCAGTGAAGTGGTTAGGGTGGTCGCTACCCGGCAAGAATTAATTAGAGCAGCCGGGAAGCTTAATTAAGCTGCCTGTTCTTAGGGAGATAGAGTTTGGCTCGTCTGCCGGCTTTTGTTGCCTTGCAAGTACAGCACTACAGGTTGTTTGGTCGATCAGGTTCATCAGAATCACTGCATGTCTCTAGTTGGAATATTTGCAGCCAGAGCCAGTACATGTTGTTGGTCGGGGGGTTTGTTTCCGTTAATTTTGATGAAGATTTAAATTTTGGGTCAGAATTTCGAAACTGTTTTCTGAATTTGAAAAAGGAATTGAAATGGAGTGTACGTACGTTGGGGTGTAGATAAGGTATTTGAGGACGGGGAGCGACTGGAAGAGGCCGCCGGGGAACACCTCGACGTTGCAGTGGCCCATGGCGCGGAGGTTGTCGAAACCCAGCACGTAGGCGAAGGCCAGCGCGACGGAGCCGTGCCCCGCCGCGCACGCCGCCGCCAGCGGCACCGCCATGAGCGCCCCCAGCACCAGCTGCTCCAGCGGCGTCGCGAACCCCGCTGCGCATGCACCGGCGATCAATTGACGGAGTTAATTAGCTTCGATCGATCGCCGGCGGCGGATCGGTACTCGATCTGTGGGCGGCGCGCGCGAGATGCATGCTTACCTGTGAATGGCTGGGGCACCTTGGCGGAGTGGTGTTGCAAGTGGTAGCAGGAGAAGAGGTGGCCGCGGTGGAACGCCCTGTGCGCGGCGTAGAACAGGGGCTCGGTGGCGGCGACGTGGAGGAGCGCGGCGACGGCGAGGCCCCTGGCGTCCCACAGCGGGAGGTGCCGCAGCGACGGGAACGCGTAGAACGCCGCCGCCGCCATGTGCACCTGCAGTATCAAGAAGTTGTCCCTGCAGAAGCAAACCCCAACACACAGATTATTCAGCTGGCTGATCGATCGAGCTAAGTTGCACCGGCGGCGAGCGCGCGTTCGTGCGTACCAGTCCCACTCCCTGTCGATCTGGCCGAAGTCGACGCCGTCGCGGACGATGCGGCGGCGGCGGGTGGCGAAGAGCATGTTGCTGAACGAGCTCCAGAGCTGGTAGGTCAAGGCCCTGACGCCGAAGAGGACGAGCAGCAGCAGCAGCCAGTGGTCGGGGCTCGCCCGCTCCCACGCCCGCCCCGCCACCGCCTTCCCCACCAGCGGCGCGTACAACACATACTGCGCACACACAATCAATCCACCATCAACAATGCCGGAAACCGATCAACCCAACGAACGGAGCAAACTGCACAAATACCTTGTACGCGCCGAGGTTATCCCATGGCCACGACGACAAGAATGCGGCACCCATGATCGCAAGCCCCTCGAGCTTGATCTTCTTCTTCGTCCTCTCAGCTCAGCTCAGTAGTACGTAGGGGTTCACCGGTGTTGTGCGTGCGGGGAGAGGGAGAGCCGTGAGGGGAGTTAGAAGATGTTGGCGGTTGTGGTTTTGCACCCAACGCGGCTGGTCATGCGCGCTGCGTCTCGGGATGCTTTTATATACGTGAAACACTTGCACAGTTGCACTGCGACTGGTATTAGCCAAGGGACAGACAGCGCGCGGTCACAGCGGTGGAGGGCGGGGAAGGTGAGAGTCCGATTCGGGCAGCGAGAGGTTGACGCGAATCAACGAAGGATCATCGATGGGATCCATCCGTCCATCCATCGATTGGCCGGCCGGCCGCCAGGCCACAGCACCTGTCAGTCGGGCTATCCGCCACCGGCTTCCCCAACCAGACGGAGTTAATGGCACCACACACGATCGAGATTTGAAACGGGATTGCGACCGCTACGTACCACACACACGTACAGGTTGTGAACTTGGGGAAATCACGCACGCGGCTGGGCCGGGCACAAGCTAAGCTAGCCTCGTGTTTTTTTTTCTACAAGTAAATTAATCCATTGTCCATGTATAAAGGAGAGAGACGCGTGGACGCGTGGTGCGCGCGCGAGCCGCTGGGCGATCACGTACGGAGCGTTGCATGCAGCGGTCGCCGGAATTAATTGGGCCAGGACGGCCGGGCGGGCCGCGGCCCGGCGAGTTTCGATTCGGTTTTAATTTTGAGATGATTTTTGGATACTATATACTCCCTCCGTCCCATGATTATAAGTGATTTTGAGTTTTTGCTTGTATTGTTTGCACACTTATTTTATTAAATTTTTTTTAGAATTATTATTTATTTTTTACTTACTTTATTATCCGAAGTATTTTAAGCACAACTTCTCGTTTTTTATATTGTCACAAATTTTTTTAATAAAACGAGTGATCAAACAGTGCAAACAAAAACTCAAAATCCCTTATACAGAGGGAGTATTAATTTTGAGATGATCGATGGCGCCGGCCGGGAGGCCAAATTAGTCGACGTCTTCAGCAACGACGACGGTGGCTCGCCGCCGGCCGCTAGCTAGCTTGTTTGGTTGTCCGGCCCCGTGTTTTGGATCGTCTTCTCATGGAGTCAGGACAACCTTCTTTTCCCCACTTTTGTGTAGTACGCGTACATACTATCGGATAGTAGCAATTAAGTTCGCGTTTGGCGTGGTGTGGCGGATCGATGGGCGACGGCGTAACCAATTCTGGCTGGATAGTAGCCACGCGTAACCAACGCTAGCTAGCTAGATAGTAGTAGCCACGACGTCTGCCGCGTGCAGGGTTCGTTCAATCACCTAGCGAGGAAATTATCCTAAACTGATATCAGCTCGTCATTTACATGTCACATAAATAGTTATAAAAAATATTAATTTATGATATATTATTCCACAAAAAAGTAACCTAAAATTCAACTTTTACATATCAAACGAAATTCCAAATACCCGATACGCTCATTCAGAGAGCGAATATGTGATATATAATTCGAAATTAGTCTTGCATGTATGTTTCATCACGAAACGTGCGCGTATGCTTCTCTCCTTAAACATTGTCGGCTCTTTTTATTTTTTATTTTTTGGGCAGCCATCAATGGAGATAGAGAGATCGATGGAGATGGCGCATTCAATTTGCAATCTTTAAGACAAGGCATTGCGGCATTGCCTGACGACGAGAAATTGGAAACAAATTCAGAAAATTAATTAATGTATTTCACGTACAAATCACACTATGCATGTATAAGTCAAAATTCCTACGTTCTAAACGTACTTGGTCAGTTCATTCCAGCAGTTTGTAAGTCCTAAGGATTGGATTATTACTGTGCATTATCTGCTCCACATACACCCCTGTCGTCCTCCTGTCGCCAGAGTTCACAGGTTGAGGAAGGAATCATAGTTGAGAAAGCCTGTAGGTTTTTCTTCGTCGGCGTTCCTGTGCCAGGAGGCAGGCAAAAAAGTAAACTTTGCTAAGCTATAGATTAATGACGCAGGTTATATGGGTTAGGCCCTCTTCGTTTCTTCTGCAAGCACAAGATTAAATTTTGGATACTCGTGACATGCTTTTCAAACTGCTAAACGGTACGTCTCGTGCGAAAACTTTATATATGAAAGTTGCTCTAAAATATCATACTAATTCATTTTTCAAGTTTATAACAATTAAAACTCTATTAATCACATGTTATTAATACATCGTTTTACGTGAAACACTTAATTTTTATCTTCATCTTCATCTTCATCTTTAAGAGGTGGTGTTTGAATCTCCTGAAGATGAAGATGAAGATAAACATAGAGGAGCGAGGGTTGTATATCTATAGTAGAAATATATTCATGAATGAAGTCTGGAGTCATCATCGAATTAACGGTATAAGCAGACGGCAGGCCGAAGCAGAGAATGAGACGAAAACGAAAAAAAAAACACGATGTAACCTAGTACATATAGTTTTTTGATGCATCAATCCACAAAAGAAGGTTTAGTGAGGAGTAGCCCTAAGTGCACTTGCCCTTTACATTCTTCTCTCAGTTTTTCTTTTGTTTTGCTTCTTAGGTCTTCTCGCCTTAACTCGACGGTCTAATGTCGGATGCATGTAACTTCTTTCAATCTTAATAAAATTTGGTCGGTGTTTCTTCCGCCGAACCGGCAAAAAAAAAAGAAAACCACAAAAGAAGATATCCCTAATTTATCGGGCGCATTATCCGTTCTCGTTCATCCATCTAAATTAAAGTTGTAAAGCGGATTTTCTTTAAAAATAAGAATAAGAGTTAAGCACAGGAGCGGAGTTACACTGTGGTCCATGGACCACCATAGAAATCTAGCCCAAGGCCCATCACCCCTATGCGTTACTTCTAGAAAAATATCAATGGCAAGTTGGCAACTGTTTTGCTTCGTTTTTTCGCTGCAACAAGCACCGCGTCCTTTCGTTTCCATCGCAATTGTCATTCCCAATTTTCGATCGCGCGAGTGAATGAGTCAGCGACGACAACTAAGGCAGTGAGGCACGAACGTGTGACGGCGGCAGCCGCGGGCAGGCAGGAAGCGCGCAGCGCCGCAGCAGACCAGCGGCATCCAGCATGGAGCAAGCAGTCAGCAGCACTCATCGCCAGCAGGCATGCAGCACCACAGCACAACACGGCAGTAGGTTCTCAACTTCTCATCTCCCCCTGCAGCCCTTGCTTCTCTCTTTCTCCTCTAAAGGCCCTAACAGTAGGAATTTTCCTTTAGGTTCAAACGTTCAATCTCATTTCAATTTTAGGATATCCGATTGGAGTTGGGATGGTAAATTGAAACCTTGCAATCCTGTATAATCCCATTGTAGATTTGCTGAAAAATGAAGAGGGGTGGAGATATTACATCTCTTTTTTAGAAATAAGCAACTTTTAGACTTATTTATTTTAAGATATTAGTAAGACCTCTTTAATTATTTGATGAGAATATGGTTGTTAAATTTTATCTCTGTGTGTACGTCGGCATGTTACATCCATAGTGTTAAAAATAATAAGTTTACATCTATAGTGTTAAAAATAATAGGTTGAGTTGGACAACCCCACCTTGAAAATATAGTGTTAAAAATAATAAGTTGAGTTGGACCACCCCACCTTGAAAACCTGGCTACGCCACTAGTTAAGCAGATATCCTATTTCTTTTTGTTGAGCTCACAAATTAAAATTAATGCAGCATTTGCATTTCATTAGGAGATGAAAAGGAGAGGGATTAATTAGTGCATGGTGCATTGTGTCGCCTACTGTAGCCCGTGGAGCCATGGTGAAAGCTGCGCCACGCCATTCTCATCAAGCGATGGATTCACACACGCCGCTGCAGTAGCGTGCTATTTTTTTTAACGATTCGTACGAAGTTCTACTTATAGAGAAGGAAAAAAATTACAAGATTATAACCTAAGAGGGTCGTAACCAGGAAAAAAGAAGAAAATACCACCACCCACACACCGACAGCGCCAACACACAACCCGGGAGAAGGCTAGCACTGGATCGGCCGCCGCTAAGCGTGACCGACCGCCATAAGACTAATAAAGGAGCACAGACGAGATCGCCCCCTAAGGGATGCCAAAACGACGTCTTCAAGAAAAGAAGCGACAGAAAAACCATTGCCGCCGTCCGTCGGGGCTCAAAGGAGCCAAGATTGGGCTTTCGCCCGGCAACCACCCTTGAAGGGTGAGACAGCACGGCAACGCCCTCAAGAGGGGCATCGTTGTCGGGCCAGCTAATGCCGGGCTGGGTTTTCACCCGCCGCTCACCACCTGTGATTCAACGGCTGACGCACCGATGCTCCATCACCACTCAAGCTCTGCCGACATGAGGGACCCCTGCACAGGCGTCCCCCGCCGGCCAGTCTTCGTGCGCCGAAGACCGCGCCACACCCATCGGCAGCTCCTCCTCACACCGAGGTCGCCTCCTCCATCGCCGGCTGCGCCTCTCATGCCAAGCCGGCCTCCTCCACCGGACGCGCCCCTCGCACCAATCCGGCCTCCCTCCCTCGGCCGTGCCTTTCGTGCCAAGCCGGCCTCCATCTCCGCCGCCCGCGCCTCTCGCGCCGAGCTGGCCTCCGATGCCATCGGCTGCGCCTCTCTGCGCCAAGCCGGTCTCCAACCCCTCCTTCAAACGATGCCGCGCCGATCAGATGCAGCCGTCTGCCACGCCCTCGGCTAGCCGTTCGAGGCCGCCATGCCAGTCACCGCCACCGCAGCCCCAGCTACCGAAAGGCCCTGCCGCCTCGCCGTCGCCATCCTCACTTCCTCCGCCGCAGCCACGTCCATGGTCGCCACGGCCATTGCCACAAGCCGTCCGCCGTCGCAGCCTGTAGTCACCGGCACCCGCTGTCGCTGCCCGCGAGGCCACTGCATCCTCCGCCACCGTCGCCAGCTGCCGCCGCAGTAGGCAACGCCGCGAGCACAGCCGCCACCGCCACCACGGGCCATAGCCGCGGCTGCCTCAACCGCTGCCGTCGGCCATCGCCGTCGACTGCCGCCGCCGTCACCACGACGGCACCTCATCCCCGCTGCCGGCTTAGGAGCCGACCTCCCGCGCCACCCAGCCGTGCCTCGCCGCCTCGTGCCGCCTCATCACCGCAGCCGGCTCGAGAGCTGGCCTCCCGCGCCGGGGAGGCCGGATTCGGACGAGGGT